TCCATTGCCCCAGAACTTGCCCCATCCTCACTTCTGAGCTTGTGGGTGATACAGGGGCTGCCTTTTTAGGAATTCAGGAAATGGAGGTACCCAGTTGAGGTTCTTTGCGCCTGGGTAGGTTACTCTGTTCCATTCACCTTTCTTGTTGCACAATGGGAAACCTCGGCTCTAGTTCATTCAGGAGACCCATCTGTGTATTGACATCACTTCCAGCTCTTGAACTGCATTTGTAAATTTTTTCCGGAGATGGTCTCAAGTTGATTCTCTTCCTTTGTGATTTGTGTGTTTTCTACTTAGATTTTGACAGCTCCCCAAAATATCTTACCAACAACAAAATTCAGGCAAGAAAATCGATTTTTTTCATTCTAAGAAATTAACTTTGCTCCATATAAATATCCCCATCGGTTTATTCCTAACCTTTGTAATGTTCAGAGTACATTTTCTCTCTCTCAAGGATCTGGTAATTACTAAAACAACAAATTTGAAAATGCTTTTTAAAGTTAAAGTTAGCTGTTCTGTCTTTGTAAATTTTTCATTACAAATAGATTGGAAAGGTTCAGGTGCAATTCTGTTTTGCGCCAGAGAGCCCTTTGCAACACAGAAAGCCTTCAATCAACCAAGCTCACCTGTCAGCCTGCAGAAGGCACTTACCGCAGGTGGCTGGCTGTTTCTAGCGCCCAATGCTGCAACGCTTGCAGAGAAAGTGTCAACTTCACCACCCACATCTAGCACTGGAGACTTTGGAACTATCTTTCCCCCTTGAACAGAGGCACGTGTCAGTGAGGAACAGCAGCAGCATTAGGAATTAGAGAAACACAGAATCTTACAAGGGAGGAAAATGAGGCCGAGAGAGATTCAGAACTTCCACAGTAGATGGAAGGTGGACCTTGTCCACTCTATCCTCAATTCTGTGGCCAGCATTCCTCCAAGCAAATGCACATCACCCACAGCATCATGGGTTTGGAGTGTGCAGGCCCAGCCTCAGTCTCTCCATGGGCCCTCATGAGATGTAAGTGATGTGGTACCCCCGTCCTTATTTTATCTCTCTTGAGGGGTGTCTCCAAGGGCTTTTTTATAAGTGAGAACATGTTCTCAGAAAGTGCCTCTTACACTTCAGTGACTAGTCAGTCACATGTCAGAGTAGCCTTGCTTTAAAGAGTGTGGAAGACTTGAAAATAGTCTTAGAGTTGGCCTCAGGGAGCCATGATTGTGCCACTCCAACCTGAGTGACAGAGCGAGAGACCCTGTTGGAAAAGAAGAAGAAGAAGAGATGAAGTGGGGGGAGGGGGGAAGGAAGAAACAATACTTAGTATTTATTTTTATGGTAAATATAATTTTTATTGTGGTAAAATAACAAAATTTATTATTTTAACCATTTTAAGTATAATTTGGTAGATATAATTTTAACATATGTATAGATCTTGATATCTTTCTACTTAAAAAGTACACTGGTTACTGTAATAAAAACATAGCACTGCAAGTCTTTCAGCTTCCTGAGCCTGACTTTAGGAAATCTTGTGTGGGCTCCCGCCAGGCCTCCCACCTCCCACCTCCCACCTCCATGAGCAGCTGCATGTTCTACAGCCTGTGCGTGCAGGCAGATTGCTGCAGCCCCCAAGTGGGTGCACAGAGGAGGCTCCCAGCCTGTCCCTGTTGCCTGCCTGTACCCTGCTGCCTCCTTCCTTCTCCGTGTGTCCTGCACCACCCCCAGCCCCCTTCTTGCTGCTCTTCAAATGCAGCTGATTTTTAGAGGTTGGATGAACTGTGACTGAGTGGTGGGAAACGCGGTTCTCCTTTCAGTTATGGGCAGCTGACTTGACCTCCACCCATGCTCTCTGGAAGGGAGTCCTGTGAGAGCTGCTGGGAGAGCTGCTGGCTGCTGCAGAGCCTGCCAAACTGGGGACCTGGTGGGTAGGACAGCTGGCCCTGTTTCTCTCCTTGTCTGCTCCACAAACTTTTGTTGTCACAGATTAATGACCCAAATTTGTCTGCAGACTCATTTTACACAGTCTGTAAATTAAGGTATACCCAAAGAAATTTATTCCAACATAATGATGTTATCAAATCATAAGCATAATGAAGTAATCTGTATGTTCCATTTTCCTGTAATTAAACATTTACTTTATATTTAAAATTTTTTTTTGAGACAGTCTTGCTCTGTTGCCAGGCTCCAGGCTGGAGTGCAGTGGCACAATCTCAGCTCACTGCAATCTCTGCCTCCTGGGTTCAAGCAATTCTCCCGCTTCAGCCTCCTGAGTAGCTGGGACTACAGGCACGCACCACCATGCCCAGCTAATTTTTTTATTTTTTAGTATAGACAGGGTTTCATCATGTTGGCCAGGATGGTCTCAATCTCTTGACCTCATGATCTGCCTGCCTTGGACTCCCAAAGTGCTGGGATTACACACGTGAGCCACCGTGCCCGGCCTATATTTAAAATTTTTTTAATGCAAACGTTTATTAATTTTTGAAAAGACAGACTTAGGATAACCACTCCCCTGTCAGACAGCTTGTTTGTTGCTTAAACATCTTTTTAAAGGATCACTTTTTTGAAAAAATGTTTCCTATGTAACAAAATGAATCCTTATGCAAAATTAATAGTAAAGAATGAATTGCAGCGGGAGGAACAATACACTTTGTGCCAAAAGTGAGCTTCTGCACAAAGTCTGTTTGCAGCACAGGCTGGAGTCTTTAAATGAATGTGTGAGCTGCCCCCAGATGATTCTGCTTCACAGGGCAATAGCAGCCATCCAGACCATTATCTCTTTTTAAAAATAGTTTTTAAAAACAGTAGAGAAGCTGATTTTTTATGACACTAGGCATTTTATTTAACTCATAGCCATTCTTCAGCTAAGCATCTTGCATCAAATATAAATGTATAATATGTCTAAAGTCTTTGAATTAGCTGGTAGCATCCTCTAAATAAACAGAAGTTGTTAAATTTAAATAGAACTTTCCTATGGCTGTGTGCTTCCATAATAGCATTTATCAAAGAGAATTCCAAGAGAACACTAGTTTCTCAGGACGTGATTAGTGATGACACCAAAAAGGGTTTCCTGGTTAAAAACGGGAGAAGCTTTGGTTTAAAACAGTATGCCACAGGCACCTTTTACACAAAGCTCTCTGGGCCATCCACCATGTCCAGTCCCACCGTAGCATGTGAGTGTCCTGCCAGCTGCAGATGCACCACACAGCAGTGCTGGCCACAGAGTTCTGTTCTCATGGGTTACACTCCACAGAACACTTTTTGGGAAACTCCAAAATTTTAGAAACGTTGATAAGTACTCTGTCACCGTCTGGAAAAGGTTTTTTATTTTTCTATACCATACAAAGAAGACCTTTTTTTTTTTTTTTTTTTTTTTTTGAGACAGAGTTTCGCTCTTGTTACCCAGGCTGGAGTGCAATGGCACGATCTCAGCTCACTGCAACCTCCACCTCCTGGGTTCAGGCAATTCTCCTGCCTCAGCCTCCTGAGTAGCTGGGATTACAGGCACGCGCCACCATGCCCAGCTAATTTTTTGTATTTTTAGTAGAGACGGGGTTTCACCATGTTGACCAGGATGGTCTCAATCTCTTGACCTCGTGATCCACCCACCTTACATTCATCTTTTATCATGAATACATTTTACTTAATTTTATCTTAATTTTACTCTGTTTCTTCACAAAGTAACACTAGGATTAAAATCCTGTCTTAAACTGGGCAGACTTTTGAGCAAAAAGCAGCATAAAAGTTTACGGCTTTGGCAATGACAATGCTGATAACTAGAGTAACGTCAAGTGGCGAATGTGTTGGGCACTCACTCTGAGCATAGAAACCCTAGTAGGGGCTGCACATACATTCTTTACTTCTTTACCCCTTGCAATAATGCCAGCAGCATCCCCCCGGTTTCCCAGAAGGGCTGACACAAGGTCTTAGCATTTTCTCAAGGTCTCACAGTATATAAAAGGCAGAGCTTACACTAGATGAGTTTCTTGATTCCAGGGGCCCTGCTATTCCCCATCTCTATTAACAAGGGGCACAGGTAAAGGTTAGAGCCAGGTCTCGGAAGTGCAGTCAGATCTAAGGTGAGAGCCATATAAGTGAAATCATAACAGTGTTTTGTCTTTTTGTGCAAAAGACAAAACTCTGTATTTTTTACTTCAGATAACTTTTCTGCTTTTATTTTGTTTTGTTTTGTTTTGTTTTTGAGATGGAGTTTTCCTCTAGCCCAGCTAGAAGGGCAGTGGTGCGATCTCAACTTATTGCAACCTCCGTCTCCCAGGTTCAAGCGATTCTCCTCCTCGGCCTCCCAAGTAACTGGGATTATAGGCACCTGCCACCACACCCAGCTAATTTTTGTATTTTTAGTAGAGATGGGGTATCACCATGTTGGCCAGGCTGATCACAAACTGCTGACCTCAGCTTATCCACCTGACTCGGCCTCCCAAAGGGCTGGGATTACAAGCATGAGCCACCTTATCCAGCCCACATAACTTTTCTTACATAAGTAATACTTAGCTTTTGGGGAAAATATACAAAATACCCACTCCAAAGTAAGAAAGTAAATATCACCTCCAAGCTCTACTCAGATGAACACTGAAAATATTCTTATAGGCTTCAGTCTTTTTCTTTGGCTTAATATATATAAATGCTTGCATAGATAAACACACACACACAGAGAAAGTTAATTTGTTGCCTGCTTTTTTCTTAGCAGGGTATCATAAACATGTTTCCATGTCCGTAAATATTTTCTTTGTAACCATTTCAGTGACTGTATAATACTTCACTGTGTGGATGGATCCTAATTTAGGGAGCAGGCTCTTATTCTTCTGCAGTCGGTTTCCCACAGTGTCTGTCCATTTGTCTGCCTTCTTTCTTCCCCATCTGAATCACCACACATCTCGAATTGTAGCTCCGTGGCATTAGACTTTAGAATCTGTGAAGCATTCTACCAGCTCACTGACCAAATACTTAGGAAGGGATGTTTGATGATGAATACCTTTGACTTTTCTTGTTCCAGGACAGCAGGGATCTTCAGTCTGATTGACACCCTGTGGCCCCCAGCGGTAACTCTGAAAACACTTGGCCATGACCAGCCCTGTGAAGAGGTAAGCCCGGCATTGGGAAAACTTCCCCAGTTGTGGACTACTCCATACCAGGTGCCAAGCCAGTCATCATCACTGCCACCCACACAGTCTATGTCCCCCACTGCGGTGTCAACGAGGAACCCCCGTGCAGCCAGTTCCTTTGTGGTGACCTGTGAATATGAGCCAGGACTGGGATTCAGGTCCCTGGAGACCAGGCTCTGGCTGCCTTCCCTACTGTGCTGCACATTTTCTTGAAGTTAACTTGTGATGAATGCTTAAACTACAACCCTCACATGCTGTGGGAACAATTGGGGTTTCAGCCTCATGCTAAAGTAGGCATAGAATTTTTCCCATGAACTCCTAGTCACTCACAGAACCAACACTCAGTTACCAATTAGAGCAGCAACTCAATATAATCCATAGGCATTCATACAACCTCCTGGAGAGCCAGGAACTTCCATTGTCCTGCTTGTTTATGATAGTGTCTAAGAAGAAGCAAAATGGATTAAAAATGTTCCTTCCTCTCCCTCCTGAGCCTTTTCCCCACAGACTAGACAACTGCTGCTTTGGGCCAGAGCTCCCAAAACAAAACATCTGCCTTAGGTCATGCTAACTTCTAAGTCTGTGACTCCGTACTGTGTCAAACAGCGTAATAGTTGTCAAAACACGTGGTGGCTCATGCCTGTAATCCCAGCACTTTGAGAGGCCAAGGTGGGCAGATCACTTGAGGTCAGGAGTTCGAGACCAGCCTGGCAAACATGTTGAAACCCCATCTCCACTAAAAACACAAAATTATGAGCCTGCCAAGAAGAATTTTATTACAGAAAAAAAAACACACACACACAAAATTAGTCAGGCATAGTGGCTCATGCCTGTTATCCCAGCTACTCGCAAGGCTGAGGCAGGAGAATCCCTTGAACCCAGGAGGCAGAGTTTGTGGTGAGCCAACATCATGCCATTGCACTTTAACCCAGGCAACAAGAATGAAACTCCATCTCAAAAAAAAAAAACCCATTTCTAGATTACTTAAGAGGAAGTAATTTCTAGGTGATATTTTCAGTATACCCGGAAAGATTTCAAAATGATATCTTGAATTGTTAATAGGTTCATAAGTATAGAAGTTCTTATACTTGGTCCCGGAAGTAAACGATGTAATGCATTCATTGTACAGCATTCCAGAGAGAGGACACATCTGTAAGCAAATATGTCTATATTAAAGAGGATATTTTAATCATGTGTTGAGTCCTTTAACAATACATTCACCTTCTATTTTTGCCTCATTTAAACAGATAAAAACTCATCTACCTCCTCCAGCCTTATGTTATATCCTCACAGCTCAACCGAGTCTGGGACAAATTGATATAATTGACGGAGACCCCATTTCTAACCTTTACCAGCCTCCAGTTACTCGCTGCTTACGAGACATTCTCCAGGTAATGTCTTTGTTTCTAACAAGTTATTTAGGTATTGGCCGTGTCTGTGTGCTTCCTGTAATGCTGCCAACCTTTTCTAATTCCTTTCCAGATGAATGATCTTGGTACCCGTTGCAGTTTCTATGCCAGGGTGATTTATCAAAGACCACAGGTAAGCTCTCTCAATCTTTCAGTCTCTCTTTCTGTCTGTCTGTCTGTCTCTCTCTCTCTCTTCTCTCTCTCTCTTTCTGTCTCTTTCTCTCTCTCTCATACACACACACACAAGCACAGACACACACAAACACACACATGCATGGCGTTAGAGGTTTATTAAAGGGTAATCTCCCTTGGAAATTAATGGCTTGCCAAAACAGAAAAGCATTTTTAAAGTCCAGTTAAGCATGCCCCATATACTGAAGTGGCAGTAAATCCATTCCATTTACAGGTGCAAGCTACCAGCCACTGTGCTAAGCACTGGGGTGTAAGACCCAGACAACCCTGTCCCCAAAGCTTCCCCGCCCAATAATGTTCATTCTTTTCTGACACTTAGGCAGGTTGAAGAAACGAAAGAGATGCAGAAACCTCATTTATGGGGCGGAAGTGGGAATCTCAGGATTGAGCTCAGCTACTTCTGGGAACTTTTACAGCCTTCAAAACTGAAAGCACCCCATCCCACCCCATGGTCCCTATGAGGCCTTGGGCTACTCTAGAGAGCAGTGGCCTGGAGGATCTTGCTGTCAATCAGCTAGGAGTAGAGGAGGGAAGGCGATGTGCTTGCCGGTTTGAATGCATGAACTATGTTCTGCAAGAAACCTCTGCCGGCCCTTACCTCCTACAGAAACATCTATGTAGGTCCAATCACCCAAGAGGCATTAAGAACATCCTGTTTATTAAACTCTTGTCCAGTAATGGTTGATGTGCACCAGGTGCGTCTGCCTTAGTGCAGGAGAGAGCAAGTGCCCCACGCATTGCCTCCTCGAGGGTGTGTGTGAGTGGAGCAAACCAGGCCCCTGGTGTCTGCACTCACATGGGCTGTCAGTGGATCACCAGCTACCAGCCAGGCCAGAATACCCAGGAATTACCCAGCAAGGAGTCTCGAGGGAGGGCAGGAGGCTGGCGCCTGGACCAGCAATCTCAGCCAGGCGCCCCAGTGCACCTCAAGTCAGGGCACAGTGGTGAGGGTGGCACCAGCGGCTGTCTTCTAACCATACTATGCCTGGTTATCAAGATGTGACACTCACACCCCTCACTTTTCTTTTTGTTGCTGAAGTATGCTAAGGTACACCCAGACCTTGTGCCATTTCACCCTGACACACTTGGTACGAATCTCTACAAAGCATTCATGCTTGCATACAACCCAATTCGGCTGCCTGGTTTTGGAGCCTTTCTCTTCCCCTTAAGTTATCCAGAGTTATTTTCTATTGTGCATTTATTTTGAACAAATTCTTTGCATTTCTCTGATTATTCTTAGGCAGCGGTAGAACAAGAAAGTGACTAAAAGAATATGTTTCTTAACTTCTAGTCAAGTTCTGGATGAGTTGCATATATACGAGTGTCATTACGTCATTGTTATCACAAGCATGTTAAATCAATATCTCTTTTATCTGCATCAGGAATAAGTAGGAAAACTCTTTCTGTAAAGGACTAGATAGTCAATATTTTAGGCTTCTTGGGTTGTATGGTTTTGGTTTTCATAGCAACTGCTCAGCTCCACCTTGCAGTGTAAAAGCGGCTGTTGTCATTCATGAATGAGCAGGGCTGTGTTTTAGAAACCTTTATTTACAGACACCAAAATTTGAATTTAACATAATTTTTACTTGTCACAAAATATTCTTACGGTTTTTTAGCCATTTGAAAATGTAAGAACCTTGAATAAATATAAACACCATACTTAGCTTGCAGGCCACAAATAAGCAGGGGTCAGGATGGATTAGCCCGCAGGCCATGGTTTACTGATGTTCTTCAGGTACTGAGCATGGCTACAGGGCACAGGAGCTGTGACACAGAAACACAACCTGGCTGGGCACGGTGACTCATGCCTATAATCCCAGCACTTTGAGAGGGTGATCACCTGAGGTCAGTGGATCACCTGAGGTCAGTAGTTCAAGACCAGCCCGGCCAAGATGGTGAAACCCCATCTCTACTAAAAATAAAAAATTAGCCTGGCATGGTGGCAAGCACCTGTAATCCCAGCTACTCAGGAGGCTGAGGCAGAGAATTGCTTGAACCTGCGAGGCAGAGGTTGCAGTGAGCTGAGATTGCACCACTGCACTCCAGCCTAGGTGACAGAGCAAGACGCCACCTCAAAAAATAAAAATAAGAAAAGATAACCTGAGTGTCTCCTGTTGTCCTGAAGTTTGTACTGAATGTGCAGTGCTGCAGGCTGTGTCAGAGAGAGGAGACGGGGAGGGCCATCTCTTGACGGCCACTGAGTTAGGCGCAAGCTTGTTACCTGAGGATGCCATAGGCTCTGTGCAAGAACACAGCACTGATCCGTGTGATCATTGTATGAAAGTACTTTAAGGCTTTATCTCAGTTTAATATTTGCATTTCAGATGTGAGGAGTGTGCTTTAGATGATACGCTAGTAACTGTCGGTTGTGTTTCCTTTCCTTCTCTGCAGAAAGTATGTTTGTGTTTCTGCAGCTTGACCTGTGGATTAGCTATTGTTCGCCAGCACAGTGTTGCTCACAGAAAGAGAAATCAGAGGGCTGAGTTATGAAGATAAACGAACCACATTTAGCTCTTTATTTTTTATTATCAATACTTGACCATCTTTAATTTCTGTGAGGGATTTTTCAGATTTTCAAATTATTCTCATGTATATATCATTTTATCTCAGCAACATTAGTGTCACTGTTCCTAATTCCAAGTGGAGAAGACCAAGGTTAGGCCTGGTTACCTGCTGTCTTTGATACACATGACCAAACCCTGGTGGAGCCTGGTGTGGGTTTCCTAAATCTTACTCAGCCCAGTGTCCCATGGTGCCTCCTGGCTCCACAGTCCCTCAGTTACCTGGAGCCCTGGGGGTGGGGCAGGGATGCAACATGCCCCCACCCCAGCCACATGCTGGCTGAGCTTGTGCAGGTGCTTCACCACTTTGCCTCGTGTCCTTATCTGTCAAATGAGCATGACATTCTCTCACCATAGTAGATTATTCTAGGATGAATTTAGGAGTTTTGAAATACTGTTTTCCCTTTGTTTCTCTTCATCTTTTCCCCTTTTCATCATTTGGCAGCTGATTAGTGCCTCTCGTGAAGAATTAGAGAATGACTGACATGGGTCCTTCAGTGGTGCTCTGGCTCAGCAGATAGGAGGACAGGGCTCCCAGCAAGGACTAGGCAGGGCAGGTGCTATGTCTCATACTTTCCAAGCCCATGGAGACCTAAGATTGATTTCATGCTCCTCTGCCCACCTTGAGAATACTCAGTATGTGTAGCAATGCCCTTGGCCTCTGGCACTTCCTGCTATTCTGGATCATAGGCCAGGCTGTGGCTCGCTGTGCAGGTGCCATTCACCCAGAGGGGGAATGCTGTCCTCAGAACAGTCATGTGGTAGTTGCAGCCCACACTCCTGCCCACGGCCCTCTGAGACCGAGGTTGAAAGTAAAGAAAGCAAGTATCAAAATGCTTGCACCAAAGCCGGTTAGAGGGGAACTCTGCGGCAGAGAGAAACCAAGGTTAAAGCAGGTTATCACCTTGCCCTGTGAAGGGAAGTAGAGAGGATATGTTAATCTCCTCCTGTCCAAGAAACAGGCCAGTGCAGGTGCAGCTTTCAGCAAGCATGGCTTCCAGTGAGTATGTGTGCCTAGGAATCAGTGGTCCTATATCCACGAAACAGGTTCCATGATCTACTGAAATTCTGTCTGTCTCTAGTAATCTGCTTTTCTGTGTAAGAGAATCACCAGAAACCAGCAGTCTCAAGAATGAATTGAAATAAGTGGAGTCCTGGGGCCAGTCCATGGTTAAGCCAGTGGCCTGCATCCTTGGCAGTGAAGATTAACTTTCAGGATGGTACCATGAGTCATTACTGGAACCTGAGTCATAAAAACAGACCCAGACCAGGTGTGGTGGCTGTCACCTGTCATCCTAGCACTTTGGGAGGCTGAGGCAAGAGGATCTCTTGAGGTCAGGAGTTCCAGACCAGCCCAGGCAACATAGCACCACCCCATCTCTACAAAAAAATAAAAAATTAACCAGGCATGGTGCTGCATCCCTATCGTCCCAGCTACTTGGGAGGCTGGCATGAGAGGATCCCTTGAGCCCAGGAAGTTGCTCCAGTGAGCTGTGATTGCACCACTGCACTCCAACCTGGGTGACAGAGTAAGACCCTGTCTCAAAAAAAAAAAAAAATCCAGTTGTATTTCCTTTATACTAATGACTAAGTTGTGAAGGTGAAAAGATAGTTTTCTTATTTAACTTTTATTTTTTAATAATTATAGTTTTACAGTAGGTTGCAAAGAAATATATAGGGGGGTCTAGTGCATCCCTCCACCCCCATGCCAGTATCCCACACCCACAGTAACCAGAGTAAAAACCAAAACAAAGAAACTGACATGGTCACAATCCATGGAGCCCATTCAAGTTTCAGCAGCCACGCGTGCACTGTGTGTGTGCGCACGCACGCACGCTTCTGTGCAGTTTTGTCACATGTTCAGCCTTACATCACAGTCTCTGCAGTCAGAATCCTCTGCTGTGCCATCACCACCGATTCCCATGTTCCCCTTTATAGCCACGTCCATCCTTTTTCTATCCCTAGCCCTGACAACCACTCACCTGTTCTCTGTCATTATAATTATGTTATCTTCACGTTGTTACATGCAATATGTATCTGTATTAGTTTCCTAGGATTACCCTATAAAGTTCCAAATACTAGGTAGCTTAAAACAATAGAAATGTATTCTCTCACACTTCCAGAGGCCGGAAGCCTGAAATCAAGGTGTTAGCAGTGGCCAGGCATGGTAGCTCATGCCTGTAATCTCAGCACTTTGGGAGGCTGAGACAGAAGGATCACTTGAGGCCAGGGGAGCCCAAGACCACCTTGGACAACATAGCGAGGCTCTGTCTCTATTTAAATTTTTTTTTAATTAGGCTGGGTGCCATGGCTCACACCTGTAATACCAGCACTTTGGGAGGCTGAGGCAGGCAGATCATCTGAGGTCAGGAGTTGGAGA